AGGTCTTAACGGTGCTTCGTTTTTTTGTATTTGCCAGCATCGCTCATGAAAGCCCCCTGCGTGCTTAGTCCGGGCAACCAATTGTATGCACGGGGGCATTACATATTCATTATAACTCGTTTCCCTAACTTTGAGAACAAATGAACCGTTTTGTATGAAAATAATGGTTTCTGTTATGTTATAAAAAAAAACGAATTTAGTTTGGATGCAATAGAACATCCTTCCATTTACGTTGTTTTAATGTTTTCCAATACGTTCCGTTTTCTTTGCTGGTGAAATTACTAATTTCCGCACCTTATGGCAAAGGATTAGAGTTATTATTTTTTTTCAGTCCACTGGGGTTTTTTTCCCTCTAATTCAGACCAGATGTGACTGTCACTGAAGGTGATTTAAGTGGGTGCAGCGGAGATCCAATCAGAGCGAGATCCAGCAGCGAGGGAGGGGGAGGATTGTGGAGAGGAAGGGAGGGAGGTGCAGCCATCGCTGCAAGTCTATATGATCATACGGTCCCATTATTGATTCACTTTTCACTCAATTCTCTTCCCCCCACGGTGCCTGCCTTGTCCGACAACCACTTCCTTTCCTTTCTCCCTTTCTTTTCCTTCTTCCTCTATTGTCTCCTATTCTGCACCCCCCCCCCCCTTCATTGTTTAGCGCGCTATCTCTCTCTCTCTCTCTGTTTCATAGATGACAGCCAGGGAATACAGCAGGATGTGCATTAACCCTCGTGTCTCCCTGTACGTTGCGTGTTACTGAAAAGCTTTAATCAATTATTTTAAGAATAAAAACGTGCGGTCTGACAGGGAGGGAGAGTGAGGGATGTGGAACAACACTAAGAGATGCTGGTAGGAAACGTGTACAATTCCAAACTCATTAATGATGACCAAAAAAAAACATGTTTAGGTGGAGCGTAAATTGGTACGTCACATCGCATCTCAAACATTCGGAGTGGTCCCCAATGGCAGCTGTCTCTGCGATTGGGTAGTAGTCTGGCAGTAAGGGCGGGGGGTCAATGATCACTATATGTTCAATACTATTTGAGTGATTTTCGGGGACCGTATCAAATTTGTAAAAATGTGGACCATGACGCCAGACCACAAAAGGACTACTCTTTACAAAGTACGTCACGGGGATCTGTACCTTCCACCACGAAGCAGACGGGCGCGTAGATTATAGTGGTCAATAAACCCGCAGTATTAAATAATAACCAGGGCGGTCTGTCGGGGTCGAACAGCTCGGCCTCGTCACCGCCCCTAAACCGACGAAGCCCAACAGATGTGTCGAGGAAGGGTTCGGTTTGTCCTGTCTATAGACTCGCCATCCACGGGATCAGGGCTTCGAACATGAGATGGGCACCATCACCTCAATGCACTGTTCGAGAAAAAAAATCACTTTTTTTTACGTTGAGCATTAATTGACCAAGGGCGGTGTACTTGTTTCGAACCGCGAGCATCTGCAACCAAGCGGCGAAACCGCTCCTACCGCTCAGCCACATCGGAACGAGGATGCAGAGGAGGATGTGGGCGGTGTTTGACGCGTGGGGTTGGCAGGGGAGGGCACGGGGGGGGGGGGGTGGGAGACTCGGGGAGGGTTGGGGTGTGTGTATGTGTGGGTAGAGAAAACATGTTGGGAATTGCACAGTTCACGTGTCGACGTCGTTCAGCAAGAGCTGCCCCCGAACGCGGACGAGCGAGCGCACCACGTGTGCACCCGGGCGTTTCGCGAGTCGGACTGACGCGCTCAACTCTTGGCGCTCATATTCTTAGTTTTTTTCGGTAAAGTCACGTAGGTAAAAGCTATCGTGCTGTGACGGTTCCACCTGAAGACGGAAGCTTGTGTTGCCTCCGAAACGTCGTGATTTTATTTTCTTTTTTATTTTACTTTTATTAATTTACTTTTTTTTTACCTACGTGACTTTACAGAAAAAACCTAAGAATATGAATCCTTGCAGTCACGAAAGCTTCAAATCTTGGCGCTCAGTTTGTTTTTCTTCCCTCAGTGGCACGAGGCGAGGGGCCCTTGCCACAGCGCTCATTGTTCTTTCATGCCCTTGTGTTAAATTAATGGGCGTCTTTAAAAGAACCTGACAACTTTTATCACCCCAGCGCATCGTGCGTCCACCACTCCCAAACCTCCTCCGCCCCCCGTACACACTCCACCAAAGTGCTGCTGTGGGGTCGCCCCCGTTTCTCTTGCGCGCCAACACCGCCCCCTCCTCCCTCGCCGGGGCCGCTACAGCACGGCGCATTGGGTCGCTCTGGCGCGCCAGGCCGTTCGCACGGACCAGGTGGTGGGAGTGGTCCCATGGGTCAGACGCTCAAGCCAACGATGCTCAGAGTCTGAGTTGTGAAGCCAGGTTTCGGCCGCCCCGAGCGAGGTGATGATGGTCTCAGCTCGACTGGACACACAAATATATAAGACGGGGTGGAGGCTTTAAATGTTTACACTTTAGTCCGTCTCCTAATCATTCTCGCTCATTCTGGGCTGCTGCTTTCTTGTGTTCCGTACATTGCAGATGGGGGGCATTGCGCCTGCGTGCGTGTGTGCCGGTAATTCAGTGCGGATTCATATTCCTTTTACTGCCTGCTGTGTTGTTCTTGTTGTAATTATGAAACTATTATTGACAATAATCTACACCTCCAGTTTCCTGGCGAGCCGTTGGCTGGGCTCCTTCCCCTCTCCCAAAACTGACTTGTTCATGGCCGCTGGCCATTGCCACCAAAACTAGCTGGGTAACTGGCTATAGGGGGATATATGATAAACATCGGATTGAATTGAAACGGCGGACGAATTCCGGGAGATGGTTAACAGACAGCGACACCGACAATGTGGGAGTAAGGAATACCTACGACTGCTAAGGCTCATTTATAATTGCTCTAGATTTCAATTTGTGCTCCTTTCGACATAATCCCTTGCCCAGAATAGTCTGCACATCCTAAATAATATAAAGTAAAATTAAAACGTTCACAATACACGACGTACTATTTTGACATTGTATTACTTTTAAAAAGCAGATTGCTTTCAGTGCTCCCAGTTTAGGGTTGTGAGCAGAGTGTGAAAATGACAGCTGTCTGTTAAATATCCCATTGCTGGGCACGTAAATGATAATAGGACGAGAGGGCAGCCCATCCTATTAGATGACATTTCACACCCGCCTGACCCTCTTCAGACATTCGCCACTCAACTGACGTCTCGCGAGCCATCAACTCACCTGACCCCCCCCCCCCCCATTCACCAATTGATGCAAGACAGTGGGAGTGGGAAGCCATAAAGATCAAACGCCCCCCCCACCTCCTTGCAAACAAACCCATCTCCAGAGGCACACGGCCATCCGTTGAGAGATTTCGAAACGACCCCCACATCACGTGCCGGGCTGTTGTAATTCGTAGAGCTGATAAGCAATACCAAGGACTGATTCGCTGACGGGTTATAATAACAATTAACATTTATGAGGCACATTTCATCCTTAGATCCGAATGCGCCACGTATGGCAAGCACGAAAATAAACAGAACGTGCAAGGTAAACGACCAAAATTAGGGGCTAAAGGCCAGCTTAAAAGAGATGAGTTTTCAAGACAGAAGTAAATACATCTAACCGTTCTGATTGTCTTATTAGCAAAGCTTGGCAGCTGCACTGGCAAAGCTCGATCACCCCTGCAGGGAATGATTGGGCGAATGGTCAACGGGTTTTTTCTTGCTATTTCGTCATTGCAACCTCATGAATCAAACATCACACGCTTTAAATGGCTCCTCGTCGATGGGCACTGGTGGAATGGTGTGTAGAGGAGGAGATGCCGGACGTGCGGCAATTATTTAGATACCGGGCGAGATGCTCGCGATAGTGATAGTATTATCAAACTAATGGCAACTTGCAACACGCGGCTCGCTGATCGCTCGCTCGATCTCGAGGGAAGAGGCGAGCGATGAACCGAGCAACCACAGGCAAGTTCGGAAAGGCAGTGAGAGCCGGCGCCAAACTCCACCACCTCCCCTGCTCCTTCACCCCCAAGCTCTGCGGTCCTCTATATATGACGGTGTTAACGGTGCCGCTCAATGAGTGTCCGTATACGGGAGGAATCAGGAGCACCCACGCGAGCTCCCTGCTGAAGAGATTGATGGTGGGACGTTGGAAGAGGAAAACCAATATGCTTTTGAGAGCGGCCGAGGAAATTACTGCCGCCCTCCGAGCTGCCAAGCTCAGCATCGCTGCGCGCAAACCGAGTGTGAAATGTCTACGCATCTGGCCTCCCTGTCCGCGGGTCGGGCAGGTTGCACTCAATAGCGCGTCTCCCTCAATACGAGCCAGCAGTTAGCTCATTTCGCGTCCACCAGAGTACGGTCGCCAGGCGAACGCAGGCAAACCGCGAGTCCGCTTTCATTACGTTTCTCTCTGCTGAGCGTTACTCTCTGCAGACGAAGGCGCCCCGCTTGCACGCGTCCGCGGCATTTCCCGCCCGGTGGCTTAAAAATATCCCACGCAGAGCCGCAGATAGATATTCTGGTGAAATGTTCCAGCCATCCTGGAACTCCCCAAGCCCCCTCCTGCCCCTTACCCCCAAGCCCCCTCCTGCCCCTTACCCCCCCCCCCGTAGCCCCCACCCGGACCTGCCCCCACCGACCTACCACTGTCACGGCGAACGCCCGGGACACCCCCCCCCCCCCGCCGCTGCCGCCCTGGCGACGGCACTGACGCTTTGTGCCACGCAGGGGACAGTTGCCACGAGAAGATGCCCCTTGTCTCGAATGTGGCCAGGGCATTGTGATGGTTGTGAAGAAGCTGTGAGAATGCTCCGTCATTACGGCGCATTGAGAGTTGCCGAGTGATTTAAGAAAGCCGCCCTATTAATGCGAATTCGTATCCGCGTGTGCGTGTGCGCGTGTGTGTGTGCCCACCCCCTCATGTGCCGTGCCGACTTTCACAGGTGCTCGCAAACAGCACTCGCCCCAACAGTCTGTGAAGCCTATCCTCTGTCTTTGTGTGTGTGTGTGCGTGTGCGCAGGTACTTTATCCCTGTTCTACACCGGTCTGATGCCGGGTTCTACCAGTGCGCCGTTCGGAACCGACAGGGAACGCTGATGCAGCGCAGGACGGAGGTGCAGGTAGCATGTAAGTGACGAAGGGCACGCAACGTACTCCCCGCACGTAAAACACCCACCCCCCGACCCCCCTGTTTGGGCATCTTGTTGCTGCAAGTGCTGTGAGTGAGCACCTCTTAAGGTCGGGACAGCGTACCAAGAGGTCACTCCAAAGACAAACGCACACGCACACACGCACATGTCACTGATGTATGTACATACATCCACAGACACAGCAACAATCGCCATTCACCAACAAGTGGTGGTGACGTCACCACGGGACTTGTGCCAGGCTAAGTGCACTTTAAGGCAACGTGAAGTGTCGAACGCCCGCTGGAGGAGATCACGGGACAGACCTAGGTGTCATGGGTTAACTGAGATGACTGGCCGATGCACCGCCTGTGCCCCATATTATGCACAGACACACACATAAGACACCAGCATTATACTGTTACGGCAAGTGTTGTTCGCGAACACCTACGAAGGTTGGCACGGCATACGAGGAGGTGGGTGACCAACCCAAAAAACAGGCATACTTTTGTGTCTCCAGTTCTGATGCTTACCACTGTATCAGGTACTCATTTAAGGCAGAGTTCACCTAGGGGAGGCTCAGGATTCAGTTCAAAATTGTGCCACTGGTATTAATCGTGAGTGGGAATCGGACTCCGTTCGGCTGCCTGGTTCGGAGCGCAGTGCACTAACCGCTGCGCCACCGCTCCCCAAACGCACACAAATGCTGACATGCACATACACACACTGAGGCAATCCTTTTCTCTTAAATCCCTGAACAGAATTCTGAAGCTACAAATCCAACACCTGTGTTTTCGGCGGTCCGTCGTAATGAGCCCACTCCCGGCTCAACTGAGAAAAATGAAAAGACACACAAGAAAGAAAGAAAGAACGCTATGGGTGTTTTTTTTTCAGAGGCGCTGTTTGCTTCCCCTTAAACAAATGTTATGAAGTGACAGTTCCCCCCCTAGTGAGTCATCAATCATAGCTAGAGGTGAGCACGCGGCACGCCTGGCCTCTCTAACACCCGACGCCAATTTCTATAAAAATGTAACAAAAGGTAAAAGTGCGGCTCGCATCGCAACCCTCTTTCTCACTCTCTCACGCTCCAAAGAGTCCATCCGCAGGGTATTTGGTCTACTCTTCCACGCTAATCAGACGCATTGGTGGAGGGTGGGAGCGCTCTCTCTTTACACCACACTGCATGCAAGACCTGCCGATAGACTGACTGAGCTTTGCCCACTTGGACTGCTGGTGGACAAGGATGAGTGGGTTTAATAAAATTGCAACGTCATTTAATTACTTATTTAGCGAGGAAAGCTGCAATTAGTCCAAATACTTTTTTGCTAAAATGGTCTTTCATTGAGACATTTCTCCAACACCATTTGCATTGTACCTTTTTTTGCCTCCCTCTGCATACATGTTAAACTTATTTCGCACCGTACAGAGCCAACCATGCTAATCGGGGGTGCTGTTACCTGTGGGAGGATAGCGGAGAACCCGGAGGAAACCCATGCAGCAACTGGGAAGAGAATATGCAAACTCTACGCAGAAAAGCGCCCGAGTCGTGAATCGAACCCAGGTTCCTTCTTGGTGCGAGGCGCATCGGCAGATTGGATCGAACCAGCGACCTCTGGATTGCGAGTCCCAGCACGCTGTGACCATTAAATGAAACGCGCTAAATGTATCATTCTGCTGGAGCACATTACACGTGACGAGACATGGCTGACGACAACTACGATATTAACTTTTACTTGCATTGGTCAGGAAACCAGTGGCGTAGTCTGGTTGGCATTGGCGCTGGTGCAAGGCATTGGTCGCAAAGGCAGTGGCGTAGGGTGGCTGCATTGGCGCTGGTGCAAGGAACCAAAACGTCCTGGCCAAACTCTCATCCGCTTCGTAGCAAAGCACAAGGGCCGCTCTGGCTGGTCTCGTGGGTCCCCGGTGCAGTTGCACATCCTGCGCACTAAATAGCTACGCACATGCACGCAGGCTCTTTAAGCCAGCACGCGGGGGACAGGCGATTACAGTGACAAGATTAAATTATCCCTCGTGGGAAGTTAGGGTCTGCCAATTTGGAAAGAAAGAAAAATTGTTGTGGACTTTCACCTGCATGAGATATATACACACGCTTGCTGGACCAGCTCTGTCGAAAATTAAAACGTAAATCCAATGCCACGCTACGAGACGTAACATTCGACCATTAAAAAAAAATAAGCCTTCAAGTGCCTTTAGTGCCCTCGTGCCAAATCCCTCTCTCGTAAAAAAAATATAAGGAGGGGGTGACGCGACTACTGGCAAGCCTGCAAATGCGAAGAGAAAGCGAATTCACTTCTAAACGCCATTCATCACGAGCTACTAACATGGCCTAATGGCGTGACATCCAGGGAGCGCGCCTAATAAACGCCCCGCGTAATCGTCTGCCGTGCGGGAGAAAAATAAATATTGAACTATTACTTTTTATGAACAAAATAAAAATGTGCTTGTGTCTCTTGCACCCCCACCCCCCCCCGCCTCCAACCGCTCAGTGTGGCCCTGCTATCGTCTTTGTATAAATGTATCCGCTGCAAGATGTTTAGTGGCTTTCATTAAATTACGAAAATTGCGTGGAGCAATCGCGGCATATTGTAACGACATCGCCAAGCGCAATTAGCGTGCGGTGTAATATTATTTCGTGCACGTTATCTGCGGCGGGGTAACAAATGTGTTTTAGGTTGGGTTAGGAACTGCATTAGCCATTAGTATCACGCGATCCCCTTCGCCGTTCCATCATCCCTCAACGATTAATCAGCAGAGTTTGACTACGAGCGTCATTTATTGTCTCCTTCAATGAGCTATTTGTGTGAGGCTCAAACGTGCAGGCTTTAGAACAACAACAACAACAACAACAACAAAAATGCAGTGTTGTTGATTATTCTTTTTGGAGGACCTTGCAAAAATAACAACTAACCTCAAGGGTCACGCTCGCAGTCCCACCATCGCCACCACCATCACCGTCACCACCACCATCACCACTCTTGATCCCCCACCTGGGTGCCACTCCAATGCCCGCCTCGGTCACGTGCCCTCTTCCTCCTCCACCCTGCACATGCATCGCACCCATCACAACCCCCCCCCCCCCCCCCCGGATTACAGCATTGCATCTGCAATGTCACATTTTATTGAGAACCACCGAGTTGTTTACAAAATCCCCCCACCACTCTGCACGCATGTTTCACTCATCGCGACCTTTTCTTCCTGATCACACCTACAACCCTTTCCTGCCACATTATCTTCAAAAACCTACAACTGCCCTTACCGTATCGTGCCATGGAATTCATAATCATCCTCCGAGGGTGCTAATATTTTAAAATGGCAGAACCTTCGCTTGTCGTTAACAGCAGGACGGCTGATTGGGTAATGAGGCAACGGCTGGGACGCCCACTCGAGTGAGAATCACTTGGTCACTGACACAGACGCAATCACAGTGACACTGACCGTCAGACTCACAAGGCCCATCTCATCACCTGTCTCACAACTGTCCTCATAGCCGCGTTCACAGTCACGGTGACAGACGCCCTAACAGGCACTGTCATAGCGACATCTCTCGCGCTCACGATGACTCTGGGGAGAGCATGGCATTGATGACTTCCAACCTCACAGTCAAGATCCCAGCCATTCTCACAGGTGACCTCGTGGCCACATTCATGGCCATGCTCATAGCAATGCAGCCACATGGCTATCTCATAGGCACACTTACGGCCACCCTTCTGCAGTAGCTACTCTCACAGTCGCCCGCATTGTCACATTAATAGCCGGGCCGACAGCTGCTCGGGCGGACGCTCCAATAGACGTGCTCATCGTTGTGGTCACGCGGCGGCCACACTTGGCGGCTGCCCTCATTAGCCACTCATGTTGTCAATATCATCACCAAACTGATCATTACACTCACAGCCGCCCTCATAGGAATGCGCATAAGGGGCCGTCCATAAATGACGAGCCTCACTTGGGGGGAGGGTCAGACAGTTGTTACGATGTGTGACGAGGGGGGAGGGGGGGTTGAGAAATGTGACGTCACATCAAAATGCGCAACTATAAATAAATATAGACGACACACGTTCTGCTTAATTGAATAGACTTTTTAATAAATGTTTTCTCCTACAACATCAGAGTGCAGCGCCACATTAAATACGCTCTACAATGATAATAGTTTAAAGCGATTTGAAGCATGTTTTATTTTCAAAATGGAAATATGGTTTGGGGGGGGGGGCGTAAAGAGCTTTGTGACGTCATATTTGAGGGGGGGGGTTTGACTTTTTGTGACGCCGTGTGACGAGGGGGGGGGGTCAAAAATCCTCCAAAATCGCGTGACGTAATTTATGGACGGCCCCTAAGTACCCTGGTCGTCATAGTTGCAGGCACACTCATAGCCGTACTACTAACCATGCAGGAGCGCACCTGTGAACAATTGAATGCACGTGTGTGCTTGTGTATTTGACAACTTACTAACAGTCTGGCGTGGTGCTGGCCACACCCCTCCCTCGTCCCTGCTAACAGCACTTGCCCAAACACTCTGTTAAAGTCTAGACGGGGGGCTGGTGGGGGTGGGAAAGATCTTTATCATTGTCTCTGTGCGTCTCTGCGTTGTGTGTTGTTGCTGTTGTTTTTGCTGTTGCGCGTGCAGACCTGGGAGACTTTTCCGAGTCGGCGGAGAGGCGACTGAGCGTTCCGCGAGGGGGGGCGGTCGTCATCGAGGCTCCGCGCGTCGGCTGCTTCCCCACGCCCCAAGTCACGTGGCTGCGGGAGGGTCGCAAGGTGTCGCCCAGCCCCCGAGTGTGAGTCCCCGCTGCGAACACGATGTTAAATAATAATAACAATAATACTCATCATCATCATGTACGTGTGTGTGTACGTGGGGAGCGGTAGTGTAGCGGTTAGCGCGCAACGCTATGAACCGAGCGAACCGGGTTTGATTCCCGCTCACGGCCAACACCGGTGACGATTATTTGAATCGGTCCTGGGCATCCCCTAGGTCGACTCAGCCTCAAATGAGTACCTGGTGCGATTTGTAAGCATCGCCACTAGGGAGACAAAGGCGGTCGGGTGTGGTGCTGCTCACCCACCCTCTCGTGTATCGTTCCGGCCTTCATAGGTGCTCGCTAACAGTACTTGCCCCTACAATATGTTAAGGCTATATGCGGAATCTTTGTCTTTGTATTTGTTTAACTTCCTTCACACCGTACCTAGCCAACCGTGCTCATCGGAGGTGTGGGGCAAGGACAACAAGTTAAACACACAAAAAACAGTTACACGTAAATTAGTTTTCAATTTAGATTTAAAAGTGCATAGCTCCAGTGGTTTCCGATTACGGGGAAGAAGAGCGTTCCAGACGGCCGAGGAAGTGCAATTGAAAGCACGCGATGCGGTGACCGTCTTTGTTCGATGGGCAACCAAAAGCAAGACTGCAGTTCGCGTGATGGTTCCATGCTTCTTGACGAGATCAGCAAGGCTACACCACAACGGGGAAGGGCAGTAGGATGAAGGATGCAATGCGTGGCAAAAGATACATTAATGTGGAAAAGGAGAGAGAACAGCAAGTATGGGAAATAAGGCAAAGGGGATGGGAAAGGAACGCAAAATGGGACGCGAGACAGAAATCCCCAAGGCGGACAAAGAGGGCATGGCTCAAGAAGAGAAGTTGATGATGATGAGACGAGAGGGAAGAGAGAGACGGAAGGAGCGAGCAAGAGTGAACTGCACGGAGTAACGGCGTCTGTCAGGGGGCGGTGGGGAGAGGGAAGGGATGCGTGGCCACACCCAAGTCACGTGATGTACGGGAGGCTTGAGCTGATATTAGATGCCGAAAAAACCCAAGAATAGGAATCCTTGCAGTCACGAAAGCTTCAAATCTAGAACTGATATTAGATGTATATATAGATGCAAGCAATCACATCAGCCGGCTCCGTGTTGGCCTCCCGAAAAAAATGTTTGCATCCGCATCAGGCACACATCTAGTATTTTCTTGGTTCTTTCGGTAAAGTCACGTAGAAGGGAAGCAATAAAATAATAAAAATAAAACATAATAAAATTATTCTCACGACGTTTCTGTCGACCTGGTTTTCACCTGAGGACGGCTACTTGCGTTGTGGCCGAAACGTCGTGAGAATAATTGTATTATGTTTTATTTTTATTATTTTACTGCTTCCCTTCTACGTGACTTTACCGAAAGAACTAAGAAGATGAATCCCTGCAGTCACGAAAGCTTTAAATCGAAGATCAAGTATGCCAGTCACTGTGACTATTGGTCACGTGTCACCTAAACCCTTTGACATAATGCTCATGTACGGCCACGGTGCCAATCCGCTACTTTTGGGACATCTTACCCACTTCATGCCGGTCATGGGACTTATTTGAACATAGTTCACTACGCTGGTCAGTGCGGGTTATTGAAGGGGATGGGGGGGGGGGGAAACCGGACGAGTTCCCATTCGGGCCATGGGCGAGACTCTTACACTTAGACTCCTGTAGATGCACGTCACAGTTCGCTAAACCACTTTGCCAACGCCATTCCACGGACACGTGAAGTAATAACACGGAGAAAATCCACATCAAAACAATCTATTTTCACGGCCCGTCGCATGCATTATAAGAAGCGATTTTAATTATTAAATGCCTAAGAAAAATGATCGATGGAGAGCAGTTTGAAAGAAACAAAATCTGCAGGAGACTCGATTCCGTTTTCTGGATCATTGCCGAGAAATTATTTAAAGGGCTACCACTGTATCTTGACGAGTGAAGTTTTAACCTACATTTGGTGTTTGTGTGTGTGTGTGCACTTGTGGGGAGTGGTGCCATAGCGGTTAGTGCACCGCGTTACGAACCCGGCGACCGGGTTTCAATTGCGCTCACGACCAATATCAGTAACGAATATTTGGACCTTCCCTAGGTCGACTCAGCCTGACATGAGTAACCTGGATCCAAGGTGGCCGGTCACTCTTCCTTCCAGCCTTCGTAGGTGCTCGCAAAAACAGGGACTAGTCCCACCGGTCTGTTCACGGATGTGCGTTACCGTGGGCGTGGGTCCTCCCTCCCTCCCGCTAGCGACGCTCACTCATTCCTCGTTCGTTCCCTCTGCACGGTCACGGAAACACCCGCGGTCCAGACCGCTCTCTCGGTTCCGTGCCGGGGTGGGGGCTCGCCCCCCTTGCACGTGACGGGGGTCGCAGCGCCGAGCTGGAGACCACAGAGCGTCACCGGCACGACCACCACCGCCCCCTCCCCCCCTCCCAAAAGAGTACGGCACTAGCAATTGCCGCCGAGACACAAAAAAAACATAATTTTCTCTTCCAATTACTGTCCGCCAAACACCATCATGGGTCACGTGAGGTTAAATAAACCCCTCCACCCCCTTCCTGCTTGCAGAGAGACACCCCACCACCACCAAACATGACAAATAGGCACATGCTGCACTATTGACCATTAAGCCCTCAATTAAAAAAAAACAAGTGTCTCGAAAAAAATGAACCCGACTTGGCCTTTTCGGAAATTCCTAACAATCGCAGGGAGAATTTTTTGCATTTTTTAACCTTTGGTGGCGGCGGTGGCGGTGGCGGTGGTGGCGGTGGGGGCCGCGCGAGCGCTGCTCAGAGGCGTCCGTGTACCGGCTGCGGCGGTGCGTAGCTCGCCTTTGTTCGTGCCGAGCCTGAAAGCGTTGCTCGGAGGGCTCGGAGAGATCTGCGTTGAATGGGGCGGATGCCTCCCATGGTTCGAGCGAGCTAATGCATGAATGCCGGTGGCTCGGAGGTGAAAGCGCTAAGCCGGCACTGCCGAGCCACTGGGTTCCAAACCGGGTTCCTAAGCACGGTGGGTTGATGATGGACCCAGCACGGTCGTGGTGAACCACGTGGAGAAGACATCTCGCCAAATACTCTGTTTAGTTTGTTATCCTGCCCCCTACCCTCCCACCGCAACTTCGATTTGCATGGTTGGCTGCGTACGATGCGAACGAAGTTCAGCATACATACGTACAAACGTGGTTGTGCAATTAATTTGGAAAGATGTCTGCTCTGGGAATTTCAACTATCGGTGTTTGCGGTCAAGCGGCAGGGCGGGTGGCAACGTGTTGTCCCGTCGTCTGTGGGCCAGAGGTCGCTTGCAGGAATCACAGAGGGCTCGCTCCGTGATTATCAGCTTCTGTCGGCCGTTCTCCAACACGAAGGGCCGATGCACTGCTTGTTGCGAGAGATCCGAACGGTGTCTTCGTCTTGTGGTATGGCGCCGAGAGCCTCAATTGGAATCAAATTGCGAACAAAAATGACCCCTAATGAAGTGAACGGAACATCAAGCGTTGTGCTGTTTGTCGACGCGGCCAATATTCCCTGGGCTAGGAACCGCATCACGCTCTTGATCATTTAAATGAAAACCTCATTTGACTCGCAGTCAATTACAGCTGCGGAAAAATATAGCGAAATGGGAAATATTATTCTCAATTACATGCTGAAAATGGAATTTATAAGTAAAATAATATATACATATTTTAGATATCTCTCGTTATAACATGTTTGCGTTAGCGGGCTGTATTCACTCCAAATGTAAGCTCAACCCGAGTCGTGCTGCTGTTTGGTGGCAGCTTCCGCTCACATTGTGGCAGGGCCTCTGAATAAATCGCCACCGCTTGGCCTCTCTCATGCCTCTGAATGAGGCTGGGGTGCGAGTGCGTCGACCTGCCATCAAGCACGCACGTAACTTTTGCCCGATGTCGTCGGGAATCATCCGTAGCGAGCGATTCGCGACTGATCGCATTGCGCGGGGCGCGCCCACCTAAATCCTCGGGTGAATCTCCACCAGAAGAAAGAGAGCGAGCGGGCCGGCGAAGGAGGGCGGCCAGTCAGCAGTTTTACTTCCACAATTCCACACTGCGCAAGGAAACGGCTACCCCTCGGCGCTGGACTTGCGATCCAGAGGGCGCCGGTTAGATTCCATGTCCCGACGCGGCAGTTAGGACACCTCGGTTGCGAGATGTTAGCTACCTCGCCGGGTATACAGGACGCCGTGGGTTCGATCCCGACCCTGACGCCTGCTGTATATTTGGAGTGTGCATGTTCTCCCTGTGGTCGCGTGTATTTTTCTCCGAGTCCTCCGGTTTATCGCTGCACATTTAGAAGCGCGTCGTTTAGAGTATTTGGCTGCGAAACATTTCCACGGGATAAGTCACTTTGTTGAGCTGCCATTTGTGGCCAGGTGACTTCTGAAAAAGAGTTATACAGCTCAGTGGGCCTTACATGGTGAAATTAAAATAGTTTAGCTTAAATAATGTAGTCGTTAAAACGACAGTGCACGTTTCGTAGAATCCCCCAAACCCTACCTCTGTGCAACCGGTAGTATAAATGGGTTCACCAGAGTTAGTCAATTGGGTAGGTCGTATGTGTCTCTGGGTAAAATGAGGGTCCTCCCACCTCTTGCAAGACTGGCCAGCTTGGACGAAAAGGTCGCACAAACCCTCTAGATGGGGGGGGTGTGACTTGAGCTCTCTCTCTCTCTCGTGTCAGGGGTTTAAAGTGCATCTTACTTTCCAGAGCGTCTCACAGTAGAGAGTGGTGGTTAGCGCACTGCGCTATGAACCCAGCCACTCGAGTTCGATTCGCGCTCACGGCCACCAACAGTGACGATTATCTGAATTGATCCTGGGCCTCCCCAAAGTCGACTCAGCCTCAAATGACTACCTGGTGGGGTGGGTAAAAAACATCGCCACGAGGGAGACAAAGGTGGTCGGGCGTGATCCTCGCCAGTCACCCCCTCGTGTGCCGTGCCGGCCTTCATAGGTGCTCGCTAACAG